CTCTGACATTTTTTTTTTTTGATCATCCAGCACTCTCGTCGGACTCTAGGCTACGCAGCGACCTCGTACAGCGACCTCGGTAGGCTACTTTGTGTCCAATAGGTCCTGCTAGCTGACGATCCTCTGCCCAACTCTTCCCAGCTCTTCGCGACGACCACATCGTGCGCTGTTGATGTCGGCTTGTCCGCCTGCCCCACGGCGTCTTCAAACATCGCCATTCCTCACCGACTTGTTGCCTGGAGCTGTGAATGACCTTCGTCGTCCTTCAGGATGCCCGGGGCGATATATGCCTCAAGTATGATCATGAATTTGCCCTTGGTACATAAGCTCGTCTGAGTGCGATTTCGTTTCGATTAACCTCATTCTTGCATAGATGCGCTCCTCGGCGTCCCCCGCATATCCTCCGTGCACCGCTGTCTCGCCTTCTCGGGCGTTTGTCTTCGGCGCCGCTGACCGCCGGATGATGGTAAGCTCGTCCCGGTGCGATGTCGTTTCAACCAACCTAACTTGTTGGCAGGTATGCTCGGCGTCTCGCGGTGTATAAAACGGTTTCGCCCGCTGCACCACCATGACCATGACCACCGTCGACGAGCTGGAAATTTATTTTGCGAGGTGGAAGATTCGGCAAATTTAATTGGCGGATGTGTGGCAGATCTATTTCCCCCTCGTCCTGATCACGACGATCCCCACAACTCGGCGGTGACCGCCTGCGCGAGACGATGGCGCAGACGGTGGGAGCTCAGTACCTGCGTACGACGGGGGCGCAGACAGGGGAGGTGAATGGTGTCTGCGCAAGACGGCGGCGCAGGCTGGGGAGGCGAACGCTGTCTGCGCAAGATGGCGGTGCAGGCACACATGGTTGGGCGAACGGTGCCTGCGCAAGATGGCGGCGCAGGCACGCGATTCAGCGGACTGGTGCTTGCGCGAGAGGCGGCGCAGACATGTATATAGTTAACAGCACTCACTGGAATCCGCTTAGCAGCTTCGAGGTCCCCACTGTTATGTATCGGTCGTCTGTGGCTTTGCGCTGCAGATGCCTTCGACTGGCTTTGCGCTAGTTGAAGTGGTTCCCGTATTTACTTGCCCTCGATGTACTCTGACAATTTTTTTTGATCAACCAGCACGCTCGTCGGACTTCAGGCTACGCAGTTCACTCATTAATCTGGCCCAATTGTTCTGCGGATGTGCTCCTCAGGCTCCCGCACATTTCCTTCGTACATCGGTTAGCTCGGCGTTTCGGACGTTCGTCGTCCGCTGACCCCGAAGTCTCACAAGTCAAATGTGTAAGCTGCTCCTCTGAGCGCGATTTCGGTGCGACTAACGCAATGCTTACGCAGATATGTTCCCCTATCCTCCGTGCACCTCTGGCTCGTCGTCTCCGGCGTTCCTCGTCGGCGGCACTGACCGCGGGACATACGCCAAAAAGCTCAATTCGCACTCGGTAAGTTCTTCTGTAACGTTTTGACCAACCTAACTCTCTCGCAAATGTGTTCCTCACAGTTCCGCGCATCTCCTCCGTGCACCGCTAGCTCGTCTCGGCCGTTCGTCGCCGGCGCTGTTGACCGCGGGATATGCGTCAAAAAGCTCAATTTATACTCCGCAAGTTCTTCCGAGTGCGATTTCGTTTTGGCCAACCTAATTTTCTCGCAGATGTGTTCCTCACGTATCGCGCATCTCCTCCGTACACCGCTAGCTCGCCGTTTCGGGCGTTCCCTGACCGCGAAGTCCCACATGTCAAAAATGTAAGCTGCTACTCTGAGCGAGATTTCGTTGCGATTAACCCAATTCTTACGCAGATGTGTTCATTACGGTCCTGTGCATATCATCCGTGCAGCGCTGGCCATTCGTCTCGGGCGTTTGTCTTCGGCGCCGCTGACTGCCGGATGACCATGAATTTGCCCTCGGTAAGCTCCTCTGAGTGCGATTTCGTTTCGTCCAACCTGATTCTTACACAGATGCGTTCCTTGGCGTCCCGCACATATCCTCCGTGCACCGCTGTCTCGCCTTCTCGGGCGTTTGTCTTAGGCGCCGCTGACTGCCGGATACTACGACTTTGCCCTCAGTAAACTCCTCTGAGTGCCATTTCGTTTCGTCCAACCTAATTCTTACGCAGATGCGCTCCTCGGCGTCCCGCACATATCCTCCATGCACCGCTGTCTCGCCTTCTCGGGCGTTTGTCTTCGGCGCCGCTGACCGCCGGATGACGGTAACCTCGTTCCGGTGCTATGTCGTTTACCAACCTAACTTGTTGGCAGGTATCTTATCTCATGATCATGTAGCTCGGCGTCTCGCGGTGTATACCACGGATCAGCCCGGGAAATTTTCTTTTACGAGGTGGAAGATTGGTCAAATTTACTTCAGCAGATGTGTGACAGATGTCGCATACGTCCTGATCACGACGAGCTCAACAATTCGGCGTTGACCGCCTGCGCGAGACGATGGCGCAGATGGTGGGAGCTCAGTACCTGCGTACGACGGGGGCGCAGACACGGGAGGTGATCAAATGGTGTCTGCGCAAGACTGCGGCGCAGGCTGGGGAGGCGAACGGTGTCTGCGCAAGATGGCGGCGCAGGCACGCATGGTTGGGCGAACGGTTCCTGCGCAAGATGGCGGCGCAGGCACGCGATTCAGCGGACTGGTGCTTGCGCGAGAGGCGGCGCAGAATGCCTATAGTTAACGGCACTCACTGGAATCCACTTAGCAGCTTCGAGGTCCCACTGTTCTGTATCTACCCTTTGTGGCTTTGCGCTGCAGATGCCTTCGACTGGCTTTGCGCTAGTTGAAGTGGTTCCCGTATTTACTTACCCTCGATGTACTCTGACAATTCTCTTGATCATCCAGCGCCCTCGTCGGACTCCAGGCCACCCAGTTCACTAATTAATCTGGCCCAATTGCTCTGCGGATGTCCTCCTCAGGCTCCCGCACATCTCCTTCGTGCATCGCTAGCTCGGCGTTTCGGACGTTCGTCGTCCGCTGACCACAAAGTCCCACAAGTCAAAAGTGTAAGCTGCTCCTCTGAGCGCGATTTCGTTGCGACTGACGCAATGCTTACGCAGATGTGTTCCCCTATCCTCCGTGCACCTCTGGCTCGTCGTCTCCGGCGTTCCTCGTCGGCGGCACTGACCGCGGGACATACGCCAAAAAGCTCAATTCGCACTCGGTAAGTTCTTCTGTAAACGTTTTGACCAACCTAACTCTCTCGCAAATGTGTTCCTCACAGTTCCGCGCATCTCCTCCGTGCACCGCTAGCTCGTCTCGGCCGTTCGTCGCCGGCGCCGTTGACCGCGGGAATAGGCGTCAAAAAGCTCAATTTATACTCCGCAAGTTCTTCCGAGTGCGATTTCGTTTTGGCCAACCTAATTTTCTCGCAGATGTGTTCCTCACGTATCGCGCATCTCCTCCGTACACCGCTAGCTCGCCGTTTCGGGCGTTCCCTGACCGCGAAGTCCCACATGTCAAAAATGTAAGCTGCTACTCTGAGCGAGATTTCGTTGCGATTAACCCAATTCTTACGCAGATGTGTTCATTACGGTCCTGTGCATATCATCCGTTGCAGCGCTGGCCATTCGTCTCGGGCGTTTGTCTTCGGCGCCGCTGACTGCCGGATGACCATGAATTTGCCCTCGGTAAGCTCCTCTGAGTGCGATTTCGTTTCGTCCAACCCAATTCTTACGCAGATGCGTTCCTCGGCGTCCCGCACATATCCTCCGTGCACCGCTGCCTCGCCTTCTCAGGCGTTTGTCTCCAGCGCCGCTGACAGCCGGATGACCATGGATTTGCCCTCGGTAAGCTCCTCAGTGTGCGATTTCGTTTTTCGCCAACCTAACTCTTGCATCGATGCGCTCCTCGGCGTCCCGCGCATATTCTCCGTGCACCGCTGTCTCGCCTTCTCGGGCGTTTGTCGTCGGCGCCGTTGACCGCCGGATGACGGTAAGCTCGTTCCGGTACGATGTCATTTACCAACATAACTTGTTGGCAGGTATCTTATCTCATGCAGCTCGGCTTCTCGCGGTGTATACCACGGATCAGCCCGCTGCACCACCATGGCCATGGCCACCGTCGATGAACTGGAAATTTCTTTTGCGAGGTGGAAGATTGGTCAAATTTACTTGGCAGATGTGTGACAGATTTCGCATGCGTCCTGATTACGACGAGCTCAACATTCGGCGTTGATCGCCTGCGCGAGACGATGGCGCAGACGGTGGGAGCTCAGTACCTGCGTACGACGGGGGCGCAGACAGGGGAGGCGAATGGTGTCTGCGCAAGATGGCGGCGCAGGCACGCATGGTTGGGCGAAACTAATTAATCTGGCCCAATTGCTCTGAGGACGTGCTCCTCCGGCTCCCGCACATTTCCTTCGTGCACCGGCAGCTCGCCGTTTCGGACGTTCGTCGTCCGCTGACCGCGAAGTTCTACATGTCAAAACTGTAAGCTGCTCCTCTGAGCGCGATATCGTTGCGACTAACACAATTCTTACGCAGATGTGTTCCTCACGGTCCCGTGCATATCCTCCGTGCATCGCTGTCCATTTGTCTTGGGCGTTTGTCGCGAGGACCCCGGGACATGCGTCAAACAGCTCAATTTATACTCCGCAAGTTCTTCCGCGTGCGATTTCGTTTCGTCCAACCTAATTCTTACGCAGATGCGTCCTTATCCTCCGTGCACAACGGGGGATAGGTCGCCATGGGCGCGGAGGTACACCACCGTGCTAGGGGTACAACGCGACCTGGACTTTGAAAAAACGAGAGGTGTGCGTGGTGCGGGGGGGGGACACCGTCACATACAGCGCGACGCGGTTTTAGAAAAAAATTCAGAGGTACGCGGGGTGGGGTGTACCTTCCCCATGTGGAAAGTACATCTTCGCTTGCTTGAGCAAATAATAGTGTAGTAAGGAGGAAATTAAAAAAACAAACAGCGGGAATCGAGCATGTGGGCTGAGCAGGTCAATGCAAAGCTCAGAAAAAAAATTCACCGGAGGTCACCTCTGATCCCCGAGCGAATGACCACACTAGAATCGAACTAGAGACTTGCAGCTACATAGTTACGTAGGAGGAAGGAATGAAGCTGCATGTGTTACCATTACACCATGTGGGCTTTGTACCACTGAAATGATAAGGACTCTATCCTGCTTAAAGCTCACTCAGCACCCCACAAGCCTGAGATGTTGTGGTGTCCACCCACACCACCGCACCACCGTCATCGACAAATGAAATTCAGTCAAAAAAATACGTGCTAATCATCTGCGACCACATATATCGCGAGCAGGTCTTCCGAAGTTTTTTCTCCTTCCGCCCGCTACCCCAGATCATCAATCTCCTGTTCTTCGATCTTGACGAGGACCTTGGCTTGAGGAATCGGATAGGAAACCGGACTAGAGAAGGAGAATAGGGCGGTCGTTCGATAGAAGGGATCCAAAGCGGGGGGAGTCCAGTACTAGCGACTTTAGCCAGCGCAAAGCCAGCGGCAGGAGCCTGTAGCGCAAAGCCACAGACGATGATCAAATGGGGTGAAGGAAAGTAAGGTGAGTTGGGATCAAAACTTGCCGAGGTTCACGTGATGGGACTGATGTGACCTCCACCGACTCATACCACATCACATCTGGAGACGACTACGGCTTTGCGCTGCAGACCTCCGCTGGCTTTGCGCTGGCAGTATCAGGTTAGCTAAGGACCGCCTCGGTCTCATTCGACATCAAGCTGGTCCATCTCGCTCTGCGGCTTTGCGCTGCAGACTCCCGCTGGCTTTGCGCTGGCAGTGCGGGTTATAGGCTGCGTTGTTTGCGGGGGCTGGAATAAAGCCTGGGCTGTGTCTGCCGGCGCGCGCGTGGCCTCGTTCGGGGTGTCATGACGGTTAGCCAGCGCGACATGCAATCTACAGGTACACTCGACCTTCACTCGACCTTCAAATATCTTACCATTTCATGATCACTGGCGTTCTTTTTTTTTATCAAGCACAATGTCTTCATCGCGAATCTGCGAGAAATGCGGGCGAATTCGTCTGTAAAGTTTCGCCGGATCCGAATCACCCTCTCTCCGAGCCCCGCTGGTCCAACACAGGCAGAATCGGCTTATCAATGTAATTCTGCGGGTACGCTTGATCTTCATGAAAATGTCTCGCAGGTTCCTCACGCGCACAATTTGCACAGACATACTACTAGCCCTTTTCTGGCGGGACGGAGCATGTGTCTGCTGACGGCGTCGGTGGGTGCGCTGCTTCACGCGCCCAATTACTGTATTGCTCGCGTATCTACTTTACATTCTGAATACTTGCCTGTATCTTCCTACCACATATCTACTATTTTCTCTTGAACGTCTACACCGTCGATTGAGCTGCAGGCGGGGAGGGGGGGGGGGAGGGTGGGACTAGCGTCATCCCGCCGGCGGACGTTTGGGAAACAAAGGGAGGACGGATGCGGGTTGCGCCCACAAAGGAGGGGCCGCGTGTTCGGCAACCCCATTTGCAATACCGACGAGCGCGGTCTGACCCGACAATGGCGACGCACGGACAGGGGCTCCACCATCGACAAAGGCGACGTGCTGAGGGTTCCAGCATCGACAAAGGCGACGCGCTGATAGGGCTCCAGCGTCGACAAGGGGGGCGACTCGAGCGTGGGATCGATCACCGACAAAGGCGACGCGCATCAGGCGCGAAGACGGGTTCGTGTGCCCGCCAAGGGCCATGCACGGTCCCGACAAAGGCGACAGCGCGGAGCGGTCGTGGCCCCGACAACGGCGACGTGCGGATGGGCTCCAGCATCGACAAGAGGCGCCGTGCGGATGGGTTCAGCGTCGACAAAGGCGACGCGAGCGTGGGATCGATCACCGACAAAGGCGACGCGCATCAGGCGCGAAGACGGGCTCGTGTGCCCGCCAAGGCCATGCACGGTCCCGACAAAGGCGACGCGCGGACGCGGTCGTGGCCCGACAACGGCGACGTGCGGATGGGCTCCAGCATCGACAAAGGCGCCGTGCGGATGGTGTTCCAGCGTCGACAAAGGCGAACGCGAGCGTGGGATCGATCACCGACAAAGGCGACGCGCATCAGGCGCGAAGACGGGCTCGTGTGCCCGCCAAGGCCATGCACGGTCCCCGACAAAGGCGACGCGGCGGGACGCGGTCGTGGCCCGACAACGGCGACGTGCGGATGGGCTCCAGCATCGACAAAGGCGCCGTGCGGATGGGTTCCCAGCGTCGACAAAGGCGACGCGAGCGTGGGATCGGTCACCGACAAAGGCGGCGCACATCAGGCGCGAAGACGGGCTCCGTGTGCCCGCCAAGGCCATGCACGGTCCCCGACAAAGGCGACGCGCGGACGCGGTCGTGGCCCGACAACGCGACGTGGGGATTGGGCTCCAGCATCGACAAAGGCGCCGTGCCGGATGGGCTCCGGCGTCGACAAAGGCGACGCGAGCGTGGGATCGGTCACCGACAAAGACGGCGTACGCACGCGGTTGCCCACCGACAAAGACATCGCGCACGAGGCGCAATGGGGTCGCGGCTAGCGGTCTCGTGGGGGACGTGGGAGTCACGCTCGGCCCGCCTCTGTGTGACGCCCGCCGCTGTGGGCGCGCGGCCAGCTGTGTGACGCACCGCAGCGTGAGCGCGCGCCCGCCGTGTGACGCCCGCAGCGTAAGGGGGGGGAGGTGAGCATGGATTTGGTGTGGCTCTCCCTCGTCACACGGGCGCTAGTCTTGCCGGAACCGCATTGTGCCGTCGCTTCGCGGAGTCCCGACGGCATCTACGGCCGAGTCGCGGCTCATCCAAACAAACCCTCAGCATAACCTACATTTACCTATAATCAAAAACCAAAACCAATTCGTAGTTAAGTCGTAGATTTCTGTTAAGTAGTTACATTATAACTATTATTTGGTCCACTGACAACGTAAACTTTACAAGGCCTTTGCGACATGTCACACTCGTGTGCGGCGCATGTGCGCCGGATGTGCGTTTTAAGGCACATGAGGGGCCATGTGCCTCGGTCTTTGCCCCCGGTGTTACGTTGCTAGCTAGAGCGCTGTGAGGTCACCGGTGAAAAGCTACGAGAGTTAGCACAAACCAGAGTGAATCAGGGGCTAGCTGAGCGAAAGGAGGTCGAATTGTCTAAAAAATCGGCTAGCTGAGAGAAGATTGATCGATTTCCTGAAAAGGCAATGATCATCGTTCTCGAAGCGAAGACAGCAATGCTACACAAGCGTGCGACTCTTTGCCTAGAAAGGAAAGACCGAGTTCAACTGTGGGAAATATCAGTCGAAGGGAAGAAGTTGGCTAGATGAATTGACACTATGCATGGGAAGCAAGAAAGACCTTGAAAATATTTGAACGTTACTAGAAAGATGCCATTTCAGTAACTGCTAAACTGGAAAGTGACACACGGACCACAACCGAGGACGGTTGAGATTTAGTAAAGGGGAGATGAAACGGCGCGTTTGCAATGTGCTGCCATCTAGCTACATTTTGCGCTTTTTAGAGCTAGCGCATGACGAAGTCTGCTAGCTTCTATTAGGTACATTACTAGCTTCTCAGGGCTACAAACTAGCAATGGGAACTCTGTTCGGTGGTACAAAGGAGAGTCAGAGTGAGCTCCGGCTGCTGGCTGTAGTACGAGTTATAGTGCTAGGCGCGGTTTACAAGCGTTACACTAGGCGAATACACGCATCAAGGAGATAAACATACAGGTCTAGTACCTCAGAGTGTCAAGGATTCTATGAACGAGGACCAACGACTGCACAGACGGAGCTTTGGTCGGAGCTAGCGCAGAGTAGGAACGAGCACGAGCGAGCTAGCAGGTGTCGGAAGGCGGCTAGTACCATAGCAGCTGGACATACCCTGCTGAAGTCGATACAGTAGCGGTCGAAGTGGCGCTAGCTGAGACAATGCGAAGGGACCAACCATAGGGGTATAGGAGTATACCCACCAGCAGGTCAGGTGATGGACGCGACGCGATCCAAAGAGCCTAACGAAGACAAATAGCGGAAACAGTGAATTCATGTTGAGATGGAGCAGTGGATGAACGCTAGGATGTTCAGTCCGTAAGATAGCGGGGTGGTGGCGTGATTATGAGCAAGCTGCACCGGGAATAGTAGTTCCGGAGTGGAGTTGCACATGGAGAGTTGCTCGGGTGCAGACTAGCACGCTGAGAAAGGCAATTATACCCGGCTTGGCTGTCGAGATGGTCAGATAGTTGGCCAGCTAGGCAAGCCTAGACCACGAATGGACCCGGCTCGTCTTCCGGAGGCGGTCGCATGACCAGAACATCGGCCTGTTTTACTCATTTCTCTTTACCTCATCATTTTCTCTCTGAACAGTATATAAAGCCTCATAAAATACCGCTAGAGACCAGTTCATGCCCCGCTCATCGCACTGTCGATAAGGGTGTGCTCAGGCCAGTCGAAGCGGAGATAAAGTACCTTCTCTGTTGTAAACCAGTCTATAGAAATCGCAGCGTTGTTTGTTGGATCCAGAAGTAACTGTGTGAACCAATAAGTCGAAGCTTCGCGTTGGGGTTGTGAGCGGCGCCATTCTCCACGTATAAATCAGGACCGAGAGCACGAGAGTTTAAGTTTGAGAGTTGCGGCTAGCTTTGTGGTGGACTTCAGTGGTAGCTACGCATTGGGTGACCAGGAAACGCCTCCCATAAAACGGACCACGCCCGGCACAGCACTTTGGTAGAACTGCCAGTCGATTCATTGACCGACTAGTTGAGCTAAGAGAATACTCGGGGTCCTTAATAAGCCCAAGTGTAACAGAAAAGAGCTTGGATTCAGAGGAGTCTAAGTCGGCCGTTAGCAGCATTCAGCTAGCCAAGCCATAGAGGAAGTGCAGGAGAAGCAGCATAGTCCATTAGTGGAAGTTTTCAGATAGACACTTCATTTACCTCGCCTAGGACGACTGCACTTTGTGCGTCCGCCTAGTAAACATCCTTATCACCCCCAAACCTGTACATCCCAACCTTGGGAAGTCTTGTTTCGGAACGTCAAGGGTAGCTAGCGAGTGTGGTGTTTGTTTAGTTGGGATAGTTGAGGCCATAATTCATTCTCGTTAGTAGTCGCATACTACGGCTCGGACCCGAACTCACTGAGGAAGACGCGCTTAGTC